TATTAGGATTGTTGGTAACAGAAAAAGTTATTTTCAGGAAACTTGTAGTGTAGCCTAGAACTGCAACCCTGCACCAAAAAGAGCTAAGCAAGGAGCCGTGTTGGCATGAGGGCTCTTCGGGTCCAGATTCAGAACCACGGCCATGCCCTGACATGTACTCTGGGCATCCATGGTTTAGGGGGGGGGCAAAGGGGATTTAGGGTTTAGGGTTAGGGAGTTGGAAAATGAAGTGGAATCTGGGATCTGTTAGGTACTGCCCTTAGCCTACTGGGGTTATACTGACGGCTTTCTATATTCATCCAGTTGACGGAGAAAATCTTGCACCACCTAAAGCCTCTAAACTCTGGTAATTCGTGGGACTTTAGGGACGGTAATGCAAGATGTTCTCTATCAACCGTATCACAACGATTATCCAACTACTACTGATTGGGTCCGTATCCAAGGCATCTGAACAATTAGGATAGTCTTTTGGGCATCATAGGCTGGAAGTGCATACTACCAAGTGACATATGGTGCTCCGAGTTGTTCAGGCTTCTACAGCACCACAGGGATCGCCAAAATACATCAAGGCTATACAGCCTGGCATCAGCAAATGGTACTGCGCGGCTCTAGAGCGACTCCTGGACTACACAGCAACAGTCAGCACACTCATCCATTTACGCGGTTTAGGGTTTAGGGTTTAGATAAATCCCATCATACCCTGTTGACGCCAATCTTTGAGGTTGTATCGGGATATATGTATGAAGGGAATGAAGGGTCGTCTCAACTCCTAGTATCCCCCTTAATAGCCCCGATAATAATCCACTACACAGTTCCCTACATAACCTCATGAAGGAGTTTAGACCGTAGCTCATGTACATACCTGGCGGATGTTCAAGGCAGAGCTGCCGGCCTGATCACGAGCAAACTTCTGAACCACACGAGGAGCGCGAGCCCTCCCGGTGACAAAGTTGCCATCGTTGTCAAAGTACACGGCCGACTTAGCCATTAGACAATGCAAATGTCACTGGCATAGTGGCAGCTGTGCTGAAGTGCGTTCAGCGCATTTATCATGAAAGTTCGTCCAACGCGTCCGAGCAGCGTCGGACTCACCAAGGATGAGTGGGGAGCCAGCTGTCGAAAAGCCGACACGTACCAGCTGCCTCTCCATTTTTGGATGCTTCCAACACACTTGCATGCATGTCGTGGAGCTCAGAAGCAATTAGCCCCGAAACGAGTCCAAAGCCGTGTCATGTGAAGTAGTTAACAAACTGCACATCCAAGTTTGGAAGTAGCAACCGCCGAAGGCCTCATGCCCCGCAACTTGCTGTTGTAGGTTTCCTCAGAAATCACGGGGGCATCCACTCAGCGAAGCTGCTTGAGATCTGCTAGGGAAGCTCCTGACCAGCTAGTTTGCTAGTCAGTCCTGTAGCGGCTGTTCAGGACAAGTTGCCGTGGTGTGGTAGGTCTCCACAATCTTGAACTGCGTCAAGAGTTTGCATTCTCGGAATAATGGAAAATCAAATGGAAACTGCTACAATATATTGGGGTTATGTTGGGACGATGGAGAAGAAAATGGAAACTACTATAGTACATTGGGGTTATACTGGGATGGGCTCTCCTTCAACCAAAAACAGCTTCCACGCGACAAGAAAGTACCCGAGTCAGCTTCGCGCCTCGAACATGTAGCGACCAGCCTTCAAGCCCACATTGGCACGGGCTCCTGAGATCATGTACCTCGGATGCAGACCAGAGCTCTAGGGCATGTTGCACTTGATCTCCTGCCTTCTTCTAAAGAGCGGAACAGGGACTATCAGGAACAGCCCTGCAGCTTAATCAGCGTGCGCACTCAAGACTCGCACCGTGATTGTCATAAAGCCAAAGCTGTCATGATCATTGGGTGGAAGTTCCTCTCATTGAAGAGAGTAAACATGATCAAAACCTGCTAGCACATGTGCTTAAGGGATGTGGTACCATGTCTGCACAACATTCATCCAAACACAAGTTTCCGCCACTGCTGCGCCTGCCATAAGGAAGTACGAAGGGCATGTGCCCCCGTCTTTGCAGGCCCTAGCGAGGTTTACGCCAACAACCTCTCAACAGGGTCATGATGTTCCCTATTAGGATGGCTTCTTTGCTACCGCGGTGCTGCAGTCCACCCTCGTTGATGGACATGAGCACCTCGCAGGAGTACGTTACACTGCAGAAGGAAGCTTCGAGCAGGTTCAGGGGTGTCAAGCGTTTCCTCTTCCAATGAATGCAGCCAGCTGTATGCGTGTGTGCCTTGTTCCCCATGCAAGGCAGAGCATCGAGGGTCAAATCCGGCGTCAGGAAGTCCACGTCCCCCCTCAGCAGGTGAGCGAGTGCTCAATCTGAATCGCATAGGGCCATTGTACCGCCCATTTGCAGCGGCGCAGCTAGACATTAATAGCATGGTCAAGTCAAGTTGCTTGATCTTGGGCTTCTTGTGGTCGCTGGCATCGTCCTGTCCGTCTCTGACCATCTGCGATGGAACAAGCAAAATGGGGCCAGCTGCAACTTCTGGCATCAGCAAGGCAGAGTAATGTAAACATGATGCCAAGCATCCAGCGTCAACGACATAGTCTATGTCTGGCACATAACCAGCCAGGTGCTGCATGGTAGCATGGTGAGGTAATCGAGGCGTCCTCCTCTTCCTCAAACTCATCCTGTTCGGTAGGCAGTGGGAGATATACAAGCTTCAAAAAAAGCATGCTTCGCATGATGTCAGGAGTTCTTGCTTGCGCAGCTACTACTGAATTTCTTGAGGAGGGAATTCGGAGAAGCTTCACAGCCAAGCGATCTCCACTCTAAACCCTAAACCCTAACTCCTAAACCGCAACCACACAAACCCCTCCCCACTTGCTCTCTCATCACAACCGATTGCCTTGATCAACTTGTTATGTCACTATCACTCTCTCAGATCCGTTAACTCGCAGGGCTTCAAGCCTTCCCAATCCGCAAAAACTCAACCGCAAGTCCTAACCCAAAATCGCTTTAGATCTTGAAGGCATATGGTAGTTTTCATAAATAGCAGGGATCCCAATGTAGACCCCCAAATACTACAATCCTTAGCACTGCAATCCCCAAAAAGGAGCCCCAGGCCTTGCAAATCACCCTAAACCCTAGACCCCATACCACCCTATATAACCCTATATATAACCTTATAAAAATACCCCAAGCTTGATTTTAAGATCTTGAAGCATATCTGGCCTTGGCCTCCTTCTTTGGTGGCTCCTCAGCTGGAGGCTCCTCAGCCTTGCGCTTCTTCTCCTCCTCGCTTGGAGCTTGGCGATTTATGAATAGGGATAATGGAAAACAACATGGAAACTACTATAGTATATGGGGATTATATAGGGGTTATATAAGGGTGTGGAGTTTGTAGAAATTGTATAGGGTTCAGGTCCGGAGTTTTGAGCGTATTTTGTGCCGGTTTCCGCTTTAACCTTTGACCTATACAATTTGTATCTGTCTGGGCTTGAGGCTTTAGGGTCTAGAGTCGCGGGATATTACCCCAGGTGATGGAGAATCGAATGAAAAAGAAAATGTACATCACATGGAAACTGGGTGTTTGGGGCTTAGGATTTAAGGCTGCCTTGGGGGCATAGGGCTATGTTTTGTTTATCCACTACAATTGGAGCCTAGAGTGTGGGTTTGGACCTCGCATACACACGTAGACACGCCCTTGCAGGCCCTGCGAGAGCCTGGAGAAGATTCGGGCTTATAATCCACCCCTAATATTAAATACTCCCAATATGTCATAATATACCAATTAAATACTCCCAATATATCATAATGTACCAATTAAATACTCCCAATATATCATAATATACCACATCATGGAGCGTTTAGTACTAGGGGGCTTGAATATTAGGGGGATGGGATTACACAAATGGTCTTGACTGTAGCAGCTTTGGGCTGAGCGTAACGCGGACTTCAGGCTTGGGACTTGGGGCTGGGTTCTAAGGATTAAGGCTGGAACCCTAAACCCCATAGAGCTCAGGGCTGGGATAAGGCTTCGCGCTTCGGCCGAGTGGAAAGATTAGGACTGTTTTAGGGTTCCATGGTTTCAGTTGCATGGGCCCTTCAAGGGCACTCCTAGCCAACGAAATGCTGTCTGTTTGGGACATGGGCAAAACTCGAGCATCTCTGTATACACCTTGAAAATGATAAGAAACTAACTCTATTATAGGGACCCGTATTGCTACGGGATCATGACGGCATCGTGGCGTATCTAGATTCACGCAGGTTGCGCCCCATAATGATTCTGCACAGTATCAGCATAGTTGCGACGGCTACACGTATGGCTTGCGCTATCGCTTCAACTTTATCTCCACTCTCCGATTCAATGTGTTCCCAAAATGAAATCACCAGTGCAGCTTGTACTGTAATGTTCCCGTCGCACCGGGCCTTGCGTACACAAAAATACTGTCATCCTCAATACAGAGACCCCAAAGGCGGAACCCAGAAATTCAGACGAAGCCTCCATGCGTATGTGTCTATATATCTGCGTGCATATTACTGGGGATTCCGGATGCAATGCTGTGCCGACCTCACGCAAACATACTGTAGCAGTTTCCATTTTCTTCTCCATTCTCCCTATATAACCCTATGTTACCCTATGTTATTGGAATATTACTTAGGTCTGTTGTATGCTCAAACAGAAGAAGGTTTCAGGCCTCCGGCTTTGCTTTTGCCTCGGCCTTTGGCTTGTTGGTCACCTCGTCACATGGTGTCGGGCGCAAGGCTCATGAGGGTTTCCTGAAATTGGGGGTACCGTTTTGGGAGTACCTTTTTGGGGGTCCCAATAGTAAGGATTGTAGTATTTTGGGGTCGACATTGAGGTGCCCCTATTTAGGGAAATTACCTCATCTTCAGGTTTCAGGGCTCAAGGCGATTCGGGTTTAGGGTGGCTTGGCATATATGGCTGGGATGCAGAGCCCAAAGGTACAAGACTTCAAGAACCAGTCTAGCACGGATAGCCTATGCATACAATAAGGACAGCCGGAGGGGTCGTGTTCGCACCTTCTGCGTGACAGAGTGGACCAAATAGAAATCACATTCGCAAAAGTTCTATCGTACATAGACAAAGAATACAGAAAACAATACTACCCCTCCCAATTTTGGAAAAAGTGACTTCTTTGTAAGCTTGCTTGCTGGAAATAGCCTTTTCCACATCCTAAACAATGCTGCCCCGCTGCCCATTGTTTAATGGTTCAGGTCAATGATTTAGGCTTGCACATAAGCAAAGAGATCCTCAGCAACATGGAAGCAAGGGGGGGAGGATAATTTTTGGGCGTCCCCATAAGTAGAATTATAATATGTTGGGGTCTATATTGGGGCCCTCTTGGGGTCCCCTTAAGAAGGATTCGAATACTTTGGGATCTTTATTAGGGTCCTCCTATTTTGGGAAACTACCGTATTGACCTTGGGGGATCGCACTAGGCTTCTTGCAACGGCTACCCCTTAGACTCTACATGTTAGACTCAGGAGAGGCCTAGCCCCAAACTCTCCATCCAAACTTCAACTTCACACCATGAACCCTTGTTTAGGGTTTAGGGTTTAGGGTGACCTCAAATGATCCTAAACACACAGCCTTAAGCTTAAATCTTACATTACAACAAACCCTACACTTCAGCGACCGAGGACTAGACAGGCTTCTTGGCCTTGGTCTCCTCGCGTTGGCGCTTAGAGTTCTGCCGATTCATTGGAAACCCTCCAACAGTCAACGACTCTATCATGCTGGGGGGGTCCAAATATCAGTACTATTATATTACTATAAGTGTGGCTTGTTTGTTGCTGTTGTTCTTACTATTACTATTTGTAATGACTATTATTGATAAAATGGGGGAACCCACGTGTACACAGGGTTTATGAAGGTCCTTCTTAAGGATTAGAGAGGGATTTCTTTTGAGAAATCCCCGTATGGGCGGGGGGATTCTCAAGGTAGCACTGGGGTGTTAAGGACTGTAGTGCTTGAGGTCTAGGGAGTAAGAGCTTGAAGTTCAGGGATTATGGAAAGCATTGTTGTAACTTTCTCTCTAGGAGTCTCTATCTGATCCTGGAGATTTCACATCCATGGTGCATCTGATGATTTGGTTGTCTGAGAAACTCCATATGGGAGGTTCTCAACGCATAATGGTTGTGTAATCCTTTAAGTGACCCTTTGTAATCTCCTTATCAACGCTTGGGTCTCTAGTTGTACCGAATACTTGCGGAGTCCCTAAGCCCTGATTCCTAAACCCTGACCCGTGTCATTAAAGATTTCCGCCACCGTAGACCGTAGACCCTAAACCCTGTACCACTAAACCCTACACCAGGGATTGAAGCACCATATCTATATCTGAGCTTCAGTCAATATGTCATACAAAATCTAATGGACACGGGCTCCTTGCTAGGGACTCTAGTAGGGATTGTACCAAACTATATGTCCAACATTAAAGGGTCCCTGAATACGGAATATGAGCTTCAAGGAGCCTCGGTGTGAGTACTCTTCCAGGTTTAGGGTCTCGGCCCAATCTTCATACACAAGAGAACCCTCAATAAGGTGACCATGGTCTCAGAAGCCCCTGCAACCTCAGCAATAAAAACCGTGGCCTCCTATCGCTACTATGGCCTGACGACTCTTGAGGGCTACTCCTTCCCTTTGGTATCATTCCATTAATCCACCAAGTCCCCCAAACCCTGAACCTGAAACCTATACCAGAGACCCTAAACCGGAACCCTAAACCGGAACCCTAAAACCGTCTGTCCGTCTTGGGTTCAGCTGCCTTTGGCGCCATGGCGAGATTGGGTTCGTTGGAAGGCTAAGGGCTTGTGGAGCAGAGTGGCTCGGCGCGCTCTCATTTTTTGGGTCCTCCTTGTATAGGGACTATATAGGGATCATATAGTGATTATTATAGAGGTAATGATAGGGGTTATATAGGGATAAAAGAAAATAAAATGGAAACTACTATTGGTTTAGGGTTTAGGGTTGCTGCTAAGGAACTTAAATTAAGTTACTATATTATCCCCCTATAATGGAGAATCACATGGAAAAGAAAATGGAAAATGAAATGGAAACTGGGGAAATATAGGGATTAAGGAACTCAAATTAAGTTACCATAATGGGTATATAGAGAACTTAATAGGGTTTCCCCAATATAGTAACCTAACTTTATTCCTTAACAGCAACCCAGTTTTCTCACAATCATGGGCTAAAAGGGCTTTCTTACTTGAGGGGGTATCTGAGGGAACACTTTTTCTAGAAGTGCCCTTTGTACTCCTTCCCTCCTTGAGTACGTACTTTTGCGCCTAGATCAAGGATGGATCTACGTTCCTTTGGAGGCACTCTTTCCAGCTCCACATCCCAGGCTCTCGCGATGGAATTACATGTAGGGAATTTTGGAATATGTTGGAATTACATGAGGATAATGGACAAGAAACTGGAAACTACTACATTATGGTAGGGGTAAGAGTTACAGACTTCCCTGGCGCAAAACATTCTCACGGGCTCGAGGACTTCCGAACCGTTGCTTTATGCAAGTCTACGAATCCACGAGAGTCCAAAAACAATCAACCCAAGAGAAATTCCTTAGTAGAGCCTTTTAATTGAGGGCCTCCTAAGTGTCGGTTGATCCCAATGCTTGTGGGCAGCTTTTTGTAGCCGGTGCGTACCGCAGAGTTCCAGAAAACCGAAGCAACAATGCTCGCCAAGCACGAGCACCTAACTTTA